ACACATACATTAAAGAGATATCACTTTGCACGACTTCACATTGTTTATAGTTAAAAATCGACTCCAAAAAGTCAGTTTCATGTCCAGTCAAGCGAGAGAACGGGATAACTGGACTGTTAGGAGCCCGGTGAAAGCGTCCAAGCCCGGGTGGGGTGACAGCTTGCAGTGGTCAGTCCTGGGGCCCCCAGCCCTGGGCCCCCGCTTGTGCGCATAGGGGACATGTCAAAGGTGACGCTTCAAGACTCCTGAAGCTGACAGCTGCGGGGGAGGGAGAGAGATTAACTTTTTTCAGACTTTTCCTTGTTTCTTAGGGACCTGCTTAGTGACAAAACACACATACATCTGTCAGGGTCAAGAACAATGCCATCCGGACTAACGAGTTAAGAAGAACAGAAACAAATGAGCAAGTTAAATTATGACAAATTAGAAGTCAACTCGGATCACTTGTGAGGATTTGACAAGTGGTTAACGAAACAAGAGATTAATAATACTAATACTATTAATGATAACAATAATACTAACAATAATAGTGCTATTATTATTGTTGTTGTTGTTGTTAACTGCTGAAGGCAATCGCAATTAAAATCTTAAGAAATTAAATTGTCAGCTGAAATATAACAAGGGGAAAAAACACACACATGCAAAAAATACATATTTCACCGCTCATTATGAATTCAGGAATTTACAGTGGTTACAAACTCTCTGGCTCACGATCTCATTTATTTTCACATAAACAAAAATGGCAAGCCGTACACTGCAGGTCACAGACTTTGCATTATCACCATCGACCATTCATTTGATGAAAAAAGATCGTATTCAAGCACGAAATTTAGCAGCCAGCCACATCTGCGCACATTCTCATAGTGGTCGATATTTTTCATTCGCACTCGTGTCTCCGTGACGTGCGCAGCAGTGTGTGTGTGTGTGTGTGTGTGGGGGGGGGGGGTTCGGTTGAGGCCTACCTAGGCGTCTCTCCTTGCCTATGAATACAGCAGTGGTGGACAGATTAGCTAGTAAACATTAGAAAAGCAACGCGTAGAAATCAATGCCACAAAAAGGCGCATGGGAACATGTAGACTACAGTAATCTAAAAGTACAAATATCAAATTATATTTTCTTATAATTGTTTTACCTAGAATTATATGTGAAACTGATAATGTGTGACGACTGTACAGTTAAAGTAATCCATTAAACGCATAAAAGTAAAATACATAAAAATGTATAGCCTATTCATGGTAATCTGCAAAATAAAATAAAAAGAAATACAAATAAAACTCACTGACATTCTCAAAGTAAGATTTCATAAGTCTTGTTTTCACTACAATTCTACTCTCATTAAAGCATAAAAAGGTAGCAAAAGAGACTGAAAATTATAAAAAAGATTGTCCGTTTAACATTTCTTAAAATGGGGTGTGCACTCACTCACAAAGAATATTCAATTATTTAAAGACTTTTGCCCCTGAACTTGACCTCAAATCGTTAATTGTGCGCCTGTGTTTTTATATGTGGAGAAGAGTTTTAGAGCCCCTTTATTTGAAACGTGAATCAAAGGCAAACCTCAGCACTAATGCCACTATATGAAACAAACAGAAGCACAGATCAATACAGAGTCAAATATCAACACGACGGGTTGATAGTCATTTATAAATAAACAGAATTGCAATTTGTTTCCAACGACATTTTAGTAATAAACCAGCGATTTAAATGTTTACCCAAATAACATGGTTCGATAAAAAAAACTATTTAAAAAAAAAGAAACAAGAAAACAAGCAGCAGCAACAGAAGAAGAAAAAAATCTGTAATCAGATGTAAGGTTTTAAAATATCCTATACTGTAAAATGTGAAGAATATAAATGTGATGTTACATGAGTGATGATACTCTCTTATAGTATTTTGAAATAGCCAATTATCCAATTGTTATCCAATTTTAATTATGCAGACATACATCTGTAAAAGCTGCTTTGCTTAAAATGCAACTGTTTAAACAAATCTAAATAAAATATTATTTTATTTTGAAATATTTATTATTATTATTATTTCCGAAAAATCTTCATCGTTTATGAACGGATATATACCTAATAACATTGTTTAATGCCGAAATAGATTTGTTTAGTTATAAATGCACTTCACTACATTAAAAGTCAAATTAAAAGGAAACGAATTTATGTACTTTATGATCTCTGAGGCAAACCTCAGAAAAAGGCCTCAGAGATGGTCTAAGAAATAGATTATTATTATAATCATCTGTAAGACTCACCGATCTCAGAGCGTTGTGCGCAGGGGATGATTGAAATATGCAACGATCGATTCTGGATTACATTATCGGATCAGTTTCTTTCAATTGAAAGTTGAGTGAAAAGATACAATTACAGCAACACTTAGGATGGAATAAGTAACTCAAAGTGTTAACTGATTGCTTTAAGAAGATCAGTTGGATATCATTTAAAACTAGTGTGTCCACCAAAGCAGTAACAACTTCAGCGTGCCGATTTTTATTTAGGATTTTCCCCTCAATTTCTGCACACGTGAAATCAATAAATCGATTAAAATGTTTATTCTATTTATAAGTGTTTAGCCAAGTACAACAGGAAGTCGAGATGTTGCCTATAACAAATGATCAGTTGGCGATGAATAATAATAGTTTAGAAAAAAAATATTTTCTTACATATATGTATAACAGCTATGAAAGTCGGTTTGCTTTTAAAAAGCCAAAGAGTCTCATAAATGCAACGCTATTGGATTTCTCATTGCCCTGTCTTAAGGACTAAGTTTGGTCTGATTATTTTATTGATTCGTAAATAACCGAAAAAAAAAAAAAAAGATTAAATAATTGTAAAGATGATTGGCCGCTGTAATCATGTTAAAACCATTAACCGATTAATTTAAAACCCCCATATGCACTTGTTTGAACATTTCTACAATAAACGTAGACTTTCTTACAAGGACTAGTTATCGTTCATGATTATAAAAGAACTAAATTTGAGACCACTTTCCAGCGTATGCAACTAGTTTCTATCGGTGAATATGCATATCTGCAGGCTTCCTTTGGGGCTTAACATTTGGGAAAACAAAACCTGTATCGTCAATGTAAAATTATTCATACGTAATGTTTAAATGCTAATTATGCAAAAACTTCGATTTTATTTCTAGGACTAGGGTTAGTCTAATTAGCGTTCATTTAAAAAATAATAACATACAGAATAAATACGAGTGTGTATGTGTTTTAAAGAGCGAGAGAGAGAGAGTGTGTGATAACAGTAGCAGCACAGACATTATGATAATGTTATTTATAG